AAACTCGTTTATCAAAATGAAAAAAATCTTTTTTCGAGTCATGACTCGAAGGGTCCGACCCTTATTCATCGTCTGGTGTCGTTTAAAGCCCTTTGAAGCTGCACTGAAACTCTCATTTGGACCTTGAACCGTTTGGTTCCCATTGAAGTCCATTATATGGAGAAAAATCCTGGAATGTTTTCATCAAAAACCTTAATTTTTTTTGACTGAAGACAGAAAGACATGGACATCTTGGGTGACACGGGGGTGAGTAAATTATCAGCAAAAGTTTTTTTTTTTTAAAGTGAACTACTCCTTTAAGACTACACACTTAGAAGAAAAGGTTCTATATAGAACCTTAAAAGGTTCTAAACCGCTACGTATTTGGAACCCCTAAAATGCAATGCATGTGAATGATCACAAAATTCAAGATATGGTGGTTAAAAAATGTAATTAATTAATCACGCGAAGAATGCCATTTCAGTTTTTGTCCTCCAAAAATCTGCATGATTAAAATGTGATATTAAGTTACTATAACAGTTTATAATATATATGTATAATAATTTAATAACAACTACAAAATGTAATATATGAATAAATAATAATAGCTTTTAAAGAACCTTTGTGCCAAAGTGTTCTTTCTTGTCATTATTGAACCTTTTTTAGCATAAAATGTGCTTTGGAGTTGAGTAAAGAACCCTATGCTACGTATATAGAACCTTTTTTCTAAGAGGTTTTGTAATGTTTATGCTTCCATTGATAGTTTTTTTCACTCTAACAACAAATTTTACTCGTTGATTTTACTCGTATTTTGCATTATGCATTATGTTGTGCTTTAGGGTTACATGAAATGTCTTTAAAATGAACATTGAATACATATTTTTTTTTTCTTACATTGTTAAAAACAAAACAAAAACAAAATAGGATATCAACCATTAGGATGAAAAGTGAACTTTAAAGGGGTGATGAACTGAGAAATCAAATTTTCCTTGAGCTTTTGACATCGAAGAGTTCATCATATTATAAGAATATCCTGTAAGTTTCAGAACGGAAAATGTCCTTGTTAGTCCAATAAAAGCTTTTATTGACACCAGGCTCAGCAAACAACTTGTTTTTCAAAGTGGGGAACTATGACGTCAAAGAGGATAAAACACCACCCCCGCAGGTCATCAACGCCAACTTCAACACGGCTGTTAGCCCCGCCCACCAATTTGCGCATTACACGCATAGCTAAATAACATAGATGCCTACCTCGTGATGACAAACCGGATCGAGCTACCGAGCAATACAGAATATTGTGCAGCGCCTGGTTGTGGAAGAAGACAGTCACTGCATAAGTTTCCTCTGGATCCCAATAAAAACATTGTCAGTCTGTTCGCTTCATTTTACTGAGGATTGTTTTGTAAACAAGACTGGATTTGCAGACCGATTAAGAGTAAAGAACGGTGCTGTGCCGTCTATATTGGATCTGACAGGAATTGTGCAACACACGGACACTAGGTCGAATCATTCCGGTTGCCATTTTAAAACATTAGACGTTTTCAAAACAATTTCCTCAAGTGCATCGACGGGTGAGTTGAAACTCATTATAATATGCAAAACTGTTCACCACTCACAGCAGTGGGCGTTTACTTTCAAGTCTTCAGTGCGAGACGCCCATAAAAACAGAGCGTTTTTCAGCTAGGCTAAAAATTTGAGTACAAATTAGCCTATCATTTATTCATTTTGATGTTTTTGATTGCAAAAACCAAGCGACGTCATAAGTTTACCTCAGACAACAATATAATAAAATTTAAAAAGCCAGTTCATGACTCCTTTAATATTCAAGATGTATTGTCTGTAAATAAGTAGTTTTTTTTGTCCTCAAGTCAATAGATCTCATTTCAAGGATGTTTAGATATGTTTAAGTACTTAAAGCTACACTGTGTAACTCTTTTAGTTTATTCTTAGCTAAAAACACTTGGTTCTTTCAAAAATATATGTGCTCATTAATGTATATTTACTTCGTTCGAGTAATAAAGTATTCTCGTGAGTGTATAATATGCCATTGAAAATACATACAGGTAAGGGGTTCTAATGTCGGTCGCCATGTTGCCCGTCCATCTTGAAAGTGCATTAGCCAAAGAGGGACATACCCGTTAATTCAAGCCTTGCCTTTCGCGTTTACGTTTGAGTTAACATTAATGGACGAGGTCGAACTGGAAGCCATGTTAATCTTGGACTACATTGGCCACCGTAGGAGTAAAAACGAAATCGGAATTGAGAGGAACAGAAACTAATATTCACTGGAATGTCATATACCTTTTCACCACTAGATGGGGGTAAAAATCACACAGTGTAGCTTTAAGAAATCTTCGAGGTGAAATGGTAAAAATCCAGTAATGTCTGTTCTGTGTTTGCTGTGTTCTCAGAATCACTAAAATGCTGATAGATCTGGACGGTCCTGACTGGCGAGAGAAGCTTCCAGAGATACCAAAGGTTCCGCTTTCTGCCCAGCAGCACCGTAAAGATGAACCCAGTGCAGAGGTTCTGCAGGCCCGCGCAGAGAGAGCAGAACAGGAGAAGGGTGAGTTAGACCACAACTCAATCAAAACCAACACTAAAAGATAACAGTGGCCAGACAGAACAGTTTTGTACTCAATAGTGATGCTTCTCTTGGAAAAACACAACCCTGCTGAAAGATCCAGGGAAAAGGTCACCAGCAAAAGGTATGGTTTGTATGCTGGGACCAGCTTGGGATGCTGGTGTGCTGGTCGACCAGCATATATTTGTCTTTTGGAGGCTGGTATGATCCCAGCAAGACATCAACAAAACTTGTGTATGTGTTACATAATTTATTAGTGCCTGTTCGTAGTTAAAGGGGTGGTTGATTATGATTTCACTTTTTTGAAATCTGGGAATTTAAAATTTGGCAGCTTCACAATAGAGCCAGACCGATATATCGGCTGGCCGATATTAGGCATTTTCCATAATATCGGTATCGGCAGTTATAATGGCCGATAAATGAATAATTAAAATATAAAATAAAAACGGACTGAACACGCTTCAATCATCTCTCCTTGGCCTGTTATATTGAAAATGTATGTTTTACAACTTGCAGTATGATGTCATCTATTGCTAAATCATGGCTCATCATAGACTAGCTAACCACAAAGCAAGCTAATGCCACTATCATCAGTGGAAGGCCGCTAACGTTAACATTAATGAGCTTGGAAACCACAATGAACTTTTTCTGCCTAAATTAAGTAATGATTACTGTATTTATAACTAGCAGATCTCTAGTTACAGTCCCTGCATTGTAAAATGTAAGTTATACTTGCGAGGAGAGAACATTTAGACATGGAGAAAAAGTATCAAACGTATCTTGTGCAGAAAAGTTAGCTTTCCTTTTACACGTGTGTGAAATCCGACAATATTTAATAAAAAAAAAATATCGGCCGATATATCGGAATATCGGATTTTAAAACCCCAAAATATTTGTATCGGTATCGGCCTTCAAAATCCTTTATCGGTCGGGCTCTACTTCACAACCAGAAGCTCTGCAATGTTTTGGCACCATTGATTCTTACTGTGATTGACGACACGCTGACTGTTCCAAGATGGCGTTCGATGTGGATTTATCAAGCGGCAACATTCTAATCTGAAAGACCCGGAAGTGCGATAAACTGCAATACATCTCAAATCTGCTAGAGGGCGGTCCCAAAAGGGAGCAAATATCCATAGACGTCATGTTATAATGTCCGTTTTCACAGCATAAATTCATATGTTTACAAGTTGGTCCAATGGACTTTTATTGTGATCATCAATATGTTCCACGTGCCTGACAACTGAGAGGGGGTGAACTCGTTAGTTTAGATCATATTTCGATATAAAACGTATGACAAATAAGGGTGGTTAACATTGATTGACAGCTGATAACGGGCTGCGCCGAGTGAATTTGACATCTCGGCCATGATCCGACACAACACATCAATCATACCACCTCTGTATCCTTTCTGAAACTTTTGTATTTTCCAAGATTTTCCAGTATGGCGCCGCCCATACCCCCCATAAAAAGCTTCAAACGCGTTCTTCAGAGAGTCTATGGGTGACGTCACAGATGCTTTGTCCATATTTTTTACAGTCTATGTGATTTATGTATCTATGTTTAGGAGCGTCTGACTTTTTTCGACTCGCGATTGGTGTCATTTTTTTAATGGGTAATGTAGTATGTTAAACATGACTATTTAAAAACTGAAAAAATGCAGGCTGACGGCTTCTGCAGAAGCAAATACCATGGATTACCAATCTCGTAGCTCACATTAGGTCTGTCTTTAAAGGTTTATAAGATAGCGTTCAAAATCATTTTGAGTGTTTACTTCCTGAAGCCAACTGTTGCACTCTATTGCTTGAGGAATTTGCTGCACAACATGCTTTCAAGAATGTCATGAGACGAAACACTGTAAAGGAAAGGTTGTGCGGAAAACCTTTATATGGAGGTGTTTGGGAGTGTTTTACGCAAATTACTATCCTGCAGTCGCTCATTTAAAAAATGTAAATCCATTAGCATTACAATAACTTAAGAACAAGTTTATTTGCATAGATGGAAATGTTTCGTGAGCCGTTCTCCTGTGCATATAAATATGAATAATCCATGCAATTGTTATTGAATGAGATGCACTGATTGGACTAGTACGGGTTGTAGCAAGCACGGTTTTAATAACTCACGCCAACCAGTATAAACTAGTCTCAACCTGCTAGGATATTCATGCTGAGGTTATGAAAGCTGGTTGCATGGATTAAACAATGCTTTTAAATGCCGGAACACCACAGAACTACAAATGCAGGCCGGTGCTGATAAATAATACAGTGTGACGCTGACAAAAATAAACCTGAACAATGATAATAATAGACATCTAATGGAAATCCTTTGCATGTGAGGTTTATATTTTTGCTGTCTCCATGTTTATAATAATTATGTAAGTTTCAGTCACGAGCAGCATCTAACAGCATTTGTCAGCATGTATGTACTGCACTAGATGGCAATCAATTATGCAAAGGAGTAACATAGTCAGCTTTCATCGTAATGGAACCAGACAGCTCCGGTTTCATTCTGAACTTAGAAAGGAAAACCCACATGATCACACAGCACACATCAGCAGCACCTGATCACATTAACAATGGGGCAACCTTTGCTCTGTTGTACTATGAGCCAGATGATGTCATAATAATGGGAGTATTCCCACAGCATTACTGGAAATGAGAAGAACTATGGCAAACATTCTGCTACATACAGTAACATACGATACTGTATACAATAACATGTTCAGGTCTCATTTTAACCTAAAACCGAAAGAAAAATTCCCAGTGTTGTTATTAATATTAAAACGAAATCTATTAAAAAAAGGATTTATGTAACTGAAATAAAATAAAAGACAAATATTAGATGAAAAACACGTAAACATAACTATAAATGTTGCAATGGGAACTAACTGAAATTTGACGTTTTAAACTGAAGGTTTAAGCTTTAACTTTTAAGTTCTACTAAAAGTAATTTTAAAATGCTATAATAATGAAATAATATGACACTAATATTAAAATGAAAACAAAATTATACAGATAAAAGCGCATTCAAAAATATCAATAAATACTGTAGTGCAATAGTATATAATAAAATAACACTGGAAATTAAACTTTTCATAAAGAAAAAAATGAAGCCGATTTGTATGAGCCTTGAGATTGTATGTATGATTTCCGACATTATTTCCATGACAATTCTCACCTTAAAACAATAACTATGATCTTTGATTTGTTTATTTGAATTATATTAAAAAAAAAATCTTGTTGCATTACGATAATGAGAATTTGACTGGGAAGTGTGTTTAAAAATCATGAAAATATTTTTTTTTAAACTATTTTGAATTGATGGGTTTCGTTACATCCTATTTTGAATTGATACATTTCGTTACATTCGTTACATCAATGATAACTGATAAAAAATAAGGTGACGCCTCTCTGTCTTGGGACGGAAGTTTAATTCTACTGTATCTACTTTTTTCACAGCCAGAAAAGCAGAGGCTCGATTCACATTGATGAAACAAGAAGGAAATGAACTAGTGAAGAATAGCCAGTTTCAAAGTGCTGTGGATAAATACAGTGAGTGTCTGGCTATCAAATCTGACGAATGTGCCATCTACACCAACAGGTAAACATGCCCAATTGAGCAGGTGAAAACAGGCTTCTATTTAAAATGCTTTACAACTGTTTTTAGTGAACTGTGTTCAGAAAAAAAGCAAACCACATACTATTTCAGCAGTATGTCTATTGTACTGTGTGCACTGCAGTATGCATATTTTGGTATGCATTGAAAAGCCAAATTATTAATTAAATGACTTACTACTTGCCAAAATGTTAAAGTAATCATTCATTTTGAAATTAATTTTTGATATGTTTTAGCTTACCTCAAGGGCATCCAAGATGTAGGTGTCTTTGTTTCCGCAGTAGTTTCAATTTTGACATTGTTGTCTATCAGTCATATAATGGAGGTCTATGGTCACCACCTCAAAGAGCATGCACAGAGAAGTCAAAATTAAACATGATTGAATCACTTGAGGTAAGATAAACATATCAAAAATTAATTCCAAAGTGAACTATCTCTTTAAGTATATAACACAGCACACTGTGCAGAAAACTGTATCCCACAATCCAATGTGCATGAATCAACCTGACAAATATTCAGTCGGTGTGTTCAAGAATGGTCCAGTATGACGAATTATCAAATGAATGTTTCATTTTGAAAATGCTTAATTAAAAAAATGGAATGAACATAGATCACGTGAAAACCAGTGTTGTTATTGTTAATTAAAATTCAATTTGTTTTTGTTAAATTAACTAAAGCCGAAATATATAATCTGATAAATATCGGATGAGAAACTTAATGGAAAAAATGGGAAATGTTGCCTTGACAACAAGCTGAAATAAAATGTAAATTTGTCGCATGAAACAGAATATGCGATAGGCATTTCTTCCCTATTGTGACGTATATCCGACACTGCTTCTCGAACAAGAAAAAATGTAGATTTTGACTTGATTCTGTTCATAGGGAATTGATTGGATCATTGTGGTTTTCTATTGCTATGATCTCATGTGATTGACAGGTTGTCCCATCCTCGTGCCAGTAAACACGTAATGATGGAGAGGAAGCTATTTTTATGAAATATTATGAGGGCACATGACTTTTTTTTTTTAAATGAAGTACACGGATAAATAATTTATAATAATAATTAAAAAAGATTTCTTGGTGACTTAAAATCTAAAATAAAAATTTAATAGAAAACTTGACAAAAAAAAAATGACAACAAAACAAATGTAATAAAAACTTAAAATATATACTTAAAAATATAAAACAATACTATAATTGTTTAGAAATAATACTAAAATAGCACTGGTTAAAGCCATATGCACATGAATGTTTGAAATGTTGCATAATGCATACTGTCTGACATACTGTACGTGGGTTAGTATACACTGCGCAGTAAGAAGCAAGCCATACTCTAGTATTTACAGTCGCAGTTTGCTGCTTCGCAGTTCACATTAAATACTAGCAATGAATCCTGAATAGCTGTCCATGTTGTCCTGTCTCTCATTTGATCGAGCCTTCGAGAAAGTGCTGAGACTGGAGCTGCTCAGATGAAGCTATTCAGTCAGCAATCAGCTCGGACAAGCCAGGCCGCATTGCTGAATGAGAAATGTCTGTTGTGTTTTCCAGAGCTCTGTGCTATCTCAAGCTGGATCGCTTCGCAGAAGCCAAACAGGACTGTGATTCGGCACTTCAGATCGAGCCAAAAAATAAGAAAGCATTTTACAGACGTGCACTGGCACACAAAGGCTTGAAGGTTTATATTTTGTCTTAACGGTGAAAAGGGAGTGTCTCTCCTTTATTTTTGTGCATTTTACCGTGGTTAATCAATCCATTTCAAACATTGTAAATATTTATTTTGTGTGCAGTAGAGAATAAACTGACTAGTAGTAGCACTACTGTAGAAAGAGTTTAGATGGTCTGTCTATATGTTTTCTCACAGGACTACCTGTCAGCCAGCACTGATTTACAGGAAGTACTGCAGTTGGATCCAAAAGTGCAGGAGGCCGAGCAGGAGCTGGAGCTGGTGACTAACCTTCTAAGAGAAAGTCTACTGGCTAATTCCCAAGGTAAACTCTCACTAGCCAATGAATCAAACACAGTTTTAGACTATAGGAAATCAGTTCCTTGGTACAACATTGTTTCCTAAATTGCGATGTGATGTTATTCCAGTGAAAAGCAGTTTGTATGGCTGTATCCAAAATCACTATAGAGCGCTGCAGTGATGACGTATTATTGTAGGACAACCCGGAAGTTCGCTTCACGCTTGTTCACTCGACAAAACCCAGTGGACTTTGGATTATAATAATATAGTCCTGTGCTAAAAGGCATTTTTTCAATTTTTTTTTTGTTTTAACGGGCTTTGACATGACCCAGCACCCAAAATACTAGCGCACAGGAAACAAAAAATTTGAAGAAAAAAAAAAAGTCTTTTATCACCATTTTGCAAGATGTAAACAACACTGGTCCAGAAGCACTTCCTGTTTCAGTTTAACACTACATAAAAGCTGGGATAAAATACAACCAATAGAACATATAAAACTGAATCAAAAAGTTAAACAAACATCTTTAAGATGTTTTCTTTACATGTAAAAATTAAGAAAACAGTTACAAACTGTGCTTCTGGACCAGTGTTGTTTACATCTTGCAAAATGGTCTATATTATCACAGGACCTCGGTGTTTGGTGAAATATGGTAACTTACTATACAAATTGTTACAGACATGGACGATTCGCAGACAACCTCCGCAATGATAACACATGGCTAATGTTAGAGAGGTCACTGCTAGCGAATAGGGCTTTTGTCATGGAATAACCTTAGTTTACAAACTAAGAGTTAAAGTTTGAACGTTCTTGTTGCCTTATCATTTATTTTCAAGATCTGAGGTAAACCATTATGGCTGTTAAAGTTTAAACTAAAGCAAATATGACATTCAAATTAAAATTAAACAATTTTTGCGTAACTTACCTGAGATCATCGTTGAGCTGTAGAGTCACATCTCAGAAAGAGAAACGATAACAAAAAAAGAATCATTGCGGTGTCTAAACAGTAACGTTAAACGTTAGTCTGGTAATGTTGGTTAGCACGGTTACCACATGGTACAGTTATTACTATTTTAGCCTACATGTTTATATTTAAGCAATATCACAACAGCATGTTAATACTGAGTAACTTAAGTTACATGTTACACACAGTCATTTCTCCTTTTACTATGTCTATTCTTATTTTTCACCAACAAAACAGCTGTGGCGCCATTTAATAAATCAGTAGGCCTAACGATACTTTTTGAACGAATCGGTTACTGTACCGCCACCTACTGGCGTAACAGCGTAACCTGCAGAAAGAGTCTCAGAAAAATTGCCACAACTAATATAATTAGTATAATATATATATAAAAGCATCATAAATTATCATAAATTGAAAAACTCTCTCTCTCTCTTAAAAAAAAATCTCTTATAAAACTTCATGAGATAATCCCTGTGATGTCATGTGAGTGACAGTCATCAGAGAAGAGAAGAGATGTCATTGGGGTCAGAGGAAGGGGAAGTTATAAGATTATGATTATGAGGGCACATGATGAAAATGATGTGCACTGGTATCATGGTGACTAGTTGTCTTTAAAGGGGTCATGACATGTTTTTTTTTTTTTACATGATGCTGACTATGATTGTTTCCTCTATGTAGGCTGACATCGAGACAATAAATAATGAAGTGAACAGAGAGCTACAGGAAGAACAGAGCCTCCTTCATTAAAGCCAGACACAGCGGATCCAGCGAGCCTGAGAGTCCCAGCTCTGAGATCCCACAGTCCCGCCAAGAGGCTCCATTCATCTTTGTGTAGACTGTCATGCGCCGCAACTAAAGTTTCCCTTCCAACAAACACTCATCTCACGTTCTTCTAGGAATATTGTGTCTGATGCAATGCTGACATGCAGCGCATGCAAACGGTTCATAATCTCTAACTCTGGCTTCAATAGGCACGTGTGAGCATGGCACGGCTGGGAAGCGTGTAACAAACGGGATTATGGAGTTGTACTAATAAGAGAATGTGCCTTTTAGAAGAAGCTGTGGCTCACATATGGAGTGATTTAACACTCTCAGATGAAATTGTAAAGGAACGTTTAATTTGCTACATTTAAAATGTCTCATTTCTCAGGATTTAATATATTTTTAATAGCTATTCCATTGTTATGTAATTTAAGAATACATGTAGCTCATGTGGTGTATTTTTTTTTTTTTTTTTTTTTTTACATCTTCCAGCCTTCAGCCCAACTATTGTCTCAATATGCATAAATAAAACTAGATCTCACAAGGTATGAATGTACAAAAATAACATAAGATGTAGTTTTTTCTTTGGGATGTCAGCAACAGAAATGTTTCAGTTAAACATATTTGCATCAGCTAAATAAATGGCTTTATAAACTTCTTAGGTGATGAATGTTTGCCATTTAGAAATTATGTCTTATAAAACAAACGTTTCATAATTGCAAAAGCAAAAAAATCATTCCCGGTGATTTTGGATAATGCATCCAAATAATCGGACTATACACCGCCATTCAAAAGTTCGTAGTCTGAAAGTTTTTGTTAAATGTTTTTGAAAGAAGTTTATTAAAATAGTCCAAAAATACTGTAAAACTTGTAATAATAACAATTGAAATATTACAATTTTAAATAACGGTTTGCAAAGTGAATATATATATGAACATATAATTTATTCCCCTGGTGGCACAGCTGAATTTTCAGCATCATTAAAAAAAAGCAATAAAAAATTAGAAATACATAATTTAGAAAAATTTTATATATGTCTTTAATACAGTCTTGCTAAATATAAAATTCATAATATAAAAAAATGTACATGATAGACATTTTTAAATTTAAATTCAGTAGCATTTTTTAAGGTTTTATTTCTTTTTACTGTTTTTGAATTGTAAGATTTTATTAATTAAAAAAAAATATATTTAAGACTTTTTCATATAAGGCATTTCAAATTATGTATAGGACATTAATCAAATTTGAGACATTATGTACACAAAATGTGTACAAAAGTTTTGTTGATATCAACATCAGATTATAATATTAACCAAATTAATATTGATTTAATTTGAACCTTTCACTCAAATTATGCTAATATTTTACACCCCATATAATACATTATGCACCTCAATACTGAAGTTTTGAACAAACAGAAAATATCTGGATTCATGTTTTTATTTTCATTTATATATGCATTTACACGCATATTAAAAAGCAAATATACAAATACCAAGCTGTTCTGAACAAGTTAGAAATCAATCGGCCCTAGCCTCTGAAGTAATATTACAGATATGGGCAGGAAGGCTCAAAACATAAGAAGAAAAAACACTAAAGAAATAGAAGGAACAAAAAAACAAGCAGCTTGTGGCATTGGATCAGTCCCGAAAGATTAACGGAGCAGCACCAGAACGGCAGCGTGATAGACGAATAGAAATCAACTCTTGAACTAGACCCGTGCGCTCACGGCACGACCGTACACGCGGACCGTACTAGGATGAACAGTGCAAACACAAGGGTCAGAGCCTCGAGTCCGAGGAGGCGTCTGTAAACTGTGAGTGCGTCGAAGTGTGCAGGGGTCACAGGGGTGACGAGTCGTCGTCGGTGAGCCTGAGTGCTGTCTTTGGTAGGCGGTCGGTTGTGTAGTCCCTGACCGTTTAACAGGGACGATAGGAAACCATGCCACGCCGCCTCGCTAACATTCAATTCAGCCTCATCCAATACATCTGATTTCATAAGACACAAACCGGAGGAACAAACATAGTTTTTCGATGATCCAAAAGGCACCATGAGTCAATACAGATACAAAAAAAGATAAGAAAAAAAAACTGGTTGAAGACCTAAATCATAGCCTTTACAATGCAATTATTTTTTTAAACAGGATGCAAATTCGTCTGAATCATAATTACAAACCATTTGCACCCATAACAGTTGTTTTATTGAGAATTATTAGTGGACTTGGCTTTGTAAGGACATTTTTTTTTTTTAAACACACCAGACTTGCTTCTCGTCATAAATGGGTTTGGTCAAAGTTCCCCATCCTTACCAGCAGGGGGCGCGACACAGCTTCATTCAGCTTCTCACTGGCTTTTCAACTCAGAAGCAGCACCCTGCACAGGGCTTGAACATCTTTTCCCAAAAATGGAAAATGAGCAGTGACACTAGATGAGAAAAATGAAGAAAAATCCCAAGAAAATTAAAAACACAATCATGTACAAGAATCATTGCTGTGAAAAGGGAAATCTACTATTGCCTGGTCCCTTATAGGCTCATCTTGTATGATGAGCTCAAAGAGCATTAGATTCCCTCCTGACTTCCTTGGTGCCTTTGAATAGATGTAGACTCCTTCAACTAAAGCTATATGCTGGGTAACTGAGAATACATGAGTGTATATGTGTGGTGAAGGTGCCTGAATACACGGGTCAAACACGTGGAATCTGTCAAGAACAAGTCATGATCATATTCCATCCCAAAATCACAAAGTAAGGAATTATATTTAAAGAAAATGAAGCCAATTTAAAAATAAGATTAACATTTTGTTTTCATGAAAATTAAATGCATTTCTCCTTCTGAGCATTATAAAAAAAATAAAATCCCATTCTTATTACTGCGATGCAAAAAAAGGTATGCATTTAAATCACACTGCCTTTATGCATATTTAAATAAATCTTTACAGTAATACAGAAAAATACTGTGTGATGGTTATAAAAAAATAAATTTAAAAAAGCTATATTTTAAGAAGCAGTACAATACAGGAAGGTGGATGTCCTTAAAGGGATAGTCCATCAAAAAACAATTCCCTTAATTTACTCAAATTCAAGTCGGTGCACGACTTTCTGAAGTGGATACAAAAGAAGATATTTTACAGAAGGGTTAGGAACCAAACAGTTCAATTAAAGGAGAACTCGGGTGCAAAACGAACCTTTGGTCGTTCTCTGAGATTTGTTTTCATGATAAAGAGTTTTATCTCTAAAAACTGTTTAGCGTATAATGCTAGTAATGGGGGCATATAACAAGTAAAAAGAAATCTCTAGTTTATACCACTAAACAGTTTTTAGAGATAAAACTCGATTATCAGGAAAACAAATCTCAAAGAACGGTCGACTAGGTACCGATGTTTAATTAGACCAAAGGTTCATTTTACGCGGGAGTCAATGGGAACCAAAACTTTTTGGTTACCAACAATTATTTCTTCAAAATATCTTTCATGTTCTGCATTAAAAAAAGTCATGCCGGTTGATAAGACGAGGGTGAGTAAATGACGACAATTTTCATTTTTAGCTGGACTATGCTTTTAAGTACCTTGAAATTGTCAATTTGGCCATTTTTGTTTGGATTAATACAAATTTATCCTAAACAGAGGCTTCATTTCATGTATGAAAGGACTGATTTGTTTTCCCCCGTTTTGATTCTTTTAATTTTGGGATGAATAATGAGCTAGACCCTTTTTGTAAGATTCATCCATATACTCGTACCTCACTAGGGAGGTGGATTCATCGCGGTGACCCTGAACACTGAAATAGAGGCATCTACATCATCAATTGCCCTACATTCATCCACTGACCTTCTGAATCTCATCTGAGCTTTAGTCTAACCTGGGTTTGGTCTTTACATGACCTGCCAATCAAACGGTAACCTTCGGTCACGGCCAGCTCACTGAAACCTGCCCTCGACTAGTGTAAATCTCCAACATTCGAATCATCCCCCAAGCGGGACGTTAAACCTCCATGAAGCCCTCCATGAATTCAGTGTGCAATCCTTGGTAATAAAGTGGGTGTTGAGGTTAGCTGTGAAAGCATTTAGGTTAACTCAATCTGGTTATATCTCTGTTTGAATGCAGGCATTGCGCACAGGACTAGCTGGCTGGGGAAAGTTGTTATTGTGTTCTTTAGGCGAGCTTCGGCCCGCGTCAGCCGCACAGATTAAACTCACGTTCTCCTCCGCAATATAGCACAGTGGACGCTCTGCTGCCCCGTCTGGGGTCAGAGGGGCGACCGCAGCTTGTGGGAGGGTCCCAGAGGCGGGGAAGTTTTCCAGCCGGTCGTTCTCGACCTCAGGAAGAGGGCTGACCGTTCCGCCTGCGTTGGGATGCCGGGTGTGAGACTCGTAGCAAGAGGGTCTGCAGGCATCCAGGTCGGAGCAGCTGAACTCGGAGAAGTGGCTGGAGTGCGAGTCGGCCACGGACGGCAGGCTGCCGCTCAGGGAGGGCGAGTCCAACTCGCTGGAATTGGTGCTGCGGCGCTCCAGCAGCTGGGCATCCATGTCTTCGCGCGTCTCGTTGATCTTGGTGCCACCGCTCTTTTTGCGCAGCTTTCCTTTACTCTTCTTCCCGGAGGAAGAGGACGAGGTGGAGGATGGCTCCTTGGCCCACCGAGACGACACGCACTTGCCCTCGTGGGGACAGCCAGAAGGGCAAACGCTGGCCCCGTGGCCTCCACTGCTGCCGTCGTCCATACTGCTGCTGCCGCTGTGGTGCCTGAGCTTCCCTCGTTTGGATTCCACGTCCACCTGCACCTCCATACTGTTCCCGTCTCTGCTCCACAACAACAGAAGACTGTTAATTACAGCTCCACTTCCTACAGGCCCTGATGGTACATCATTATTACTAGGGCTGGGTATTGACACAAATTTCACAATTCGATTCGATTTCAATTTCGATTCAATATTGCTTATTTTCAATATCAGTTACATCTATTATTATCTTTTCCGATGTTTGTGAAGATTCAAGGTGGCACACCCCTGTAAAACACAGACATCATGACCCTCCTATCTCCAACGGACTGAACGTTTGATGTGAGTGGAGAAAAACACAGACAAGTAGGGCTGGGTATTGAGACAAATTTCACAATTCGATTCGATTTCGATTCACAAGCTTGCAATTCGATTCGATTCAATATTGCTTATTTTAGATATCAGTTACAATAAATGGCAAATTTTCTCAAGGGAATCAAATCTCTTAACTAATGCTGTAAACTATGGGAGTCTAGTTGTAGACTTCATTAGCCTAATATGAAGGTAATAATGAACTGTTTTGTAGCTATACAAACACTTAAATTACACTTATTTATTTTTATAATAAGAGGATTATATTAAATATAAACATTTAAATGGTGGCTGTCATAAAAACATGCCAGATTTATTCAAATACACATTAAGATTATAATGCATATGTAATATGGTGTATATATTTAGCAAAATGCTCCTCTCTAGAGTTATTTTTCTCTAGCTGACTAACGAGTTTATGTGGGTTTTCTGAGGTAAATATGACGATACATGACATTGATTACAAGCACGTCTTTCCACGGTTGAAACGCTGATTGAGCGAATCAATGCGACATGATCCGGATTTCGATAAGTTGTACTCTATCTTTAACACACTTTCAGATGCTCATTCATGTTTATTTGGCGCTGTGACTGGTATTATTAAGCCGGAAGAGAGATCAGCGCTGCTGCTTCTCCAGAGCGATCTCACTCCACAGCGACAAAACACTATTTATGTTTTTGAATTTCTAAAGAAAATGGACGTAATTTGAAAATTGACACTTTGTTTCATATCAATAGTAACAAAGCACAAAGATTATTGCGATTTTTTTGGATGCGCGCAGCCGCGATACAATGTCCCATTCATTCAAATGAAACAGGATGACTAATCGATTGTTGAGATTTAAGAATCGATATCGGTTAGTAAAAATGAGAATCGATTAATATCGAGAAATCGATATTTATTAACCAGCCCTAATTATTACACAAACAGATTTGTTGAGAAGTCTCAAAGTGCTTGTAAACTACAATTCTTTTACAGTAGACTTTTAGTACAAGACTTTTACAGTAGAATATAGCATCCATGAATTAGCCGTAGCTGATCTATATAGGTGGAGCTGGGGAAGATGGAGGGTTTCTGAAAGCACTGCTAAGGCAAATGCTAACCAAGTATTTGAAGGTTGAGCATGCCAGCTAACAAGCTACTGATACAACTGGAGAAATATATAATTGCAAACATGTAAGAACCTATTAGCCTGCACCATCTAGAGTTTCATTACAGAACTTTGTATTTAAATTCTATCAGTTATAGAAATACAGACCTGTCCAGAGGCAAGTAGGCATTGAGAATGGATCCAGCCATTGCTTTGGTACTAGCGTTGTCACTGATTGTCCCCAGACTGACGGTACCAGACTCCCCACTCAAACTGCAACGCTCCTTTTGAACATCAGCTTGAACCTCCAACCTGAGACAAACAAACAACAAATTAAAGGCTTGTTCACAGCAACCTTAATGTTTGGCATACATTTTTTGGACTTTACCACTGACTTTTGGATTATTGCCGATAATAGGCTCAATCACCAGCTAAAATGTATGATTAATTGTTTTGTTCATCATGATAATATTCACAACAATGAATTTTGAAGTCTAAATAAAATCAGCAGTAGTAAATCGCTAAACGTAGGCTACAAACGAAACGAACTATGGCAAATCACTTGCTTCCATCTTTATAAAAACAAAAAAACGAAAACACAATGAGGCTGTGAAAGCAGACTAGTGAATAAATGAGAAAAAAAGTTGAGTAAATGTCCCAGAGAACGTCTGTACTCACATTCTTGCAGAGAACATGTATAAAATGGTCTTTTTGGACTGGGACTTCAATTCAAGAGACATGGCCCTTTAAGGTATTTTTTTTTTTTGGCTAATAATTGTGCACATGACTTGACATTAAAAACAAGGTGTCACTGACCTGTTAAAGCAGTTGACCATGGCACTTCCTGACAAGCTGCCAGTGATGCTGGCCCCAGCAAGTGCCATAGTGCTGGCGTTCTCACTCAGGTTGTCTCTCATTGCTCCAATGCGCTCCATATGGCTCCCGCTGGCACTCAGGCTGCCCGTCAGACCCCCTACACTGCCCTCGCCGATGCTGGGGTTATGCCTGGTCTCTGCTACTGAAGTGGTGTCTGTTGAGGTAGAAGGGGCAAACTTTTTAGGCTGTTTAGGCCCCTATGATTTCAGTGATGTGGAAAATGCAGACCTAATCGTAGGATCTAGCCATAAAAATATAAAAAATAATAAATGTGTGGCTGTATACTTGAATCAAATGGACATGTCTGTGAAAACTCAAGCACAAACAGAATGCATGTTCTGCATGGCTCTTACTACATACAAACTTGAGCACACGTAACGCTCATGTTTTTTCAGCGTCTGCCGTCTCACCATATGAGCGAGGAGGACACAAGCTTCATTTTCAAAGCTGCTCTGAAAGTCACTTCATCAATATTTTACCATTTAATGTGATAAAACAGAAACTCAAAGGTCTGATTTACAACTCATTACAACTAGGGGTGTTGCAATATACCTGTGTTGATATTCAAAGCATGAAATATCGACATCGTGTTCATTTAGAGTGTGGCAATATACCGGTATTGGCGACAACCATGATGTTTAAAATGAATAGGACTGTTATGATAACATGACACGCAATTACTCCAACGCGAGTACCTGGCTGACCCGTCAGGTGGCTGTATTGCACCCGCTGCGGCAGACACTTATTAAAGACGACGCACCCCGGGCTATTCTTTCTATTGTTTGTAGCCCATAGGCTATGTCTTCATGTATGCATTATGTCTCACAGACAGAACTTTGGATTAAGATTGTTGAAGGGTGACATGCTAACATCGCTGCTGAAGGACTGCTACACTACAAACCTCAGTGTTTCCTCTACATTCATTCTCCCGTGGCGGGCCGCCACACTTAAAATCCTCCCGCCACGGTTGCAGCTTCTCAGTGACGTCCGATATTCTGCATAGTATTATGTTATTTTGTTAAGCCCCACTAAAGGCATAAAAAACTTTGTAAAGCACAATCAAGTTTTCACCCTATATTCCAAGACTTCTAAAGTCATTGTATAATGTGTAATTTTAGTCGCTAAGTTAAAGTTAACGGAAAGTCATCTCGCCTCAGTCATTCTTCATTCAGAATTCAGCGCGTCGCGTTCGTTTGCGACACGACGACACACTCTTCAAGGTCAATATTCCCATTATTATACTTTATTTGTAGATAAAGCATAAAGTAGATGGTTTTCATAAAATGACTTTATCTTGCTGGAGTGGAGTTTATTGCCCTTTCACATTCCCTTCTCCCGGGTGTATGTGAGATTACAGCATAGAGTCGAGAGAGTGCTATTGTTCTTCATGCGTACTGAAATTTAAAACTGTTAAAAGAAAAGGCTCAAAAAACTGTTGCATATAGAATACACTAAGCATTAGTGCTGCACGATTAATCAAATCGCAATCGTATAGCGATCTCAAACCTATGCAATTATATAACGCAAAATGCCGCGATTTTATATGAAATAAACAAATTAGGGCTATTAACGCAGCATCTCTTCATTTTTGTCATCCTTTGACTAGTGTTACACGATCCCGCTCTTATTCGTGCAAATGCCTTTTCGCATTTTGCACGACAAGAACTGAAAAGCTGCCTGTGAATGCCCTAAATGAGACTCGCAGAAAGACGCGCGCCATAATGCGCATGCACTGACGCGTGCCAGAATACAGTTCTCTTTCGAGCTTGAACGAACAATAGCACACACAATTATGCCAAAATGTCGTTTTGTCGAGTATCTTCATAACGTAAGAAAAGTCTTATGGACGAAAAGAGTTTTGCTATGAGGCGCATGTGAGATCCGCGTCTCGGCAACGGGTGCTCTTAAAGGGCCAGCAGCGAATAAAGCGTTCTGTCAGTAAAGTTAAAAGAATAAAGGGAAATTAGAAAATTACTCACTGATCTTGACTAAAGAACTTTTGTAGCTTTAATAAGGATTATTCTATATATAATTTATAATTCATGCAGCGCAGACTGTTTGATAACTTTATTCAATTTCTGTATCCTACCTGTTAAGACAGGAGGGCACAGGTAAATATGGTTTTTATTATGGGTTTATGTGGGGATTGTTTGAAGTTCACTTAATTTAAAAGTTGTTAAAAAATTTTTTTAGCCTAATAATTTTTTTAAAAAAGTTGATAGCTTTCACTGTAATGATGGTTTGGTTGGTTTATTGATCATTATAGGTGTTATCAATCATTTAGTTGTTGTTTTTAGTTTGAGTTGAGAAATAAACATTAATACACAGAATGATCACTAATCTGTGTGTGCATTTTACTTTAGAACCAAGCAAGTTGGACTCATGAAAGCATTTTATTATATCGGAATCGCATATCACAATTGCAATATTGACCTCAGTAATGGCAATATGACATTTTCCCCAAATCGTCCAGCCCTACTAAGCATATTATAGATCTAATCCCTTCGCTATGTTCTTTTCAATGTGAAGCGTTGCGTGCTGTGACTTGGTGTTGCTTCAAGTGCATCATTCTGCACACGGGATGCGCATGATCGATTATAATAGAGACAAGGGGGCGTGGCCTAAGTGAAAATATCAGCCCCCCCCCCCCCTGCCGGGGGAAATGGGCCTGCCCCCACAGCTTGGAAAAATCCTAGAGGAAACACTGAACCTTCAATAAATTATTCTCCCCACAAGAACTCTGGTCAAGCTTACTTGTGTATTGGGATAAATCGAATCCATTGGCGAGCCACCCAAACTACTGCTCGGCCAAATACAGCAAATTTAACACTATGACAGAAATATATTACTATTATCCAGTAAAATGTACTTCTCAAAGTAATAATATGGTTTATTTGTTTTTATACAATATCAGTTTTAAATTTAAACTAGTAATCAAATGAAATGTGAACAGTTCAGTTTAACAAAATTAATTTAATAGTAAAAGTTTTATGCATTCATTTGATTAAGTTTGATAATAAAATTGTATATATCGAAAATATAATCGGACAACACAGAATAAATGTATTAAAAATAAAATATATATATATTATAAATTAGACTGATTATTAAAAATTACTTAAACAATTAAAACAGAATGCAGAAAATGATTGTAGCTTACACCGCTCATCAAGACAAAGGCTGTTTGTTCCCAGCGTTACTTGAGCTTCATGAGAATTATTTGGTGTTTGAGCAAAACTACAACAACTTGATCCTTGATTATCAGTTGTTGTGTTTGGAAAAGGATAAACCTCAAGGTCTCTAGATCTGGCTCACCTTCAATTCTAGTGGGACCCACTTTACCCGATAAACTGTACACATTTTTGCAAACCCCAGGAGGAGCACTTTAAACAACAACACATTTCACATATTTGTATTAAGCCTGAGCAACGAGTAGAGAAAGTGTGAAATGAGAGACAAATCCCGAGGGAGAGACGACCAAGACAGACACTGTAAATGAGAGAATAACAGAGAGAAGGCGAGATTCTCCGTTACAAAGGTGTAGTGAACAGCAGTGTGTTTGCCTCACCAGTCACAGCAGCTCCGGTGCCCACGTTCATATCGTTCTCATCATCAAACTCGATGCGCACACCTTTTCCATTCCCCGCAGACACGCCGCAACCACCGCTGCGGCACAGAGAGATGGGCACCACACCGTAGACGTATGCCAACATGATGGGCACTCCGATCCCTATGCAGACACAAAATATGATGGTTACTCAACACTACTATACAAGCAGTACAGCCACCTTTAAACCAGATAGATTATCAATTAAATCTGGACTTATAAGGAGCAAAAGTAAAGTGTTAAGGGCCAAAGATAAGAACTATAAAGTCTTAATTATTGTTCTAATTCTGTGAGAATAAGGAAGGGCTACATAACAATAACAACGATACGATCCAACATACAGTCCCTGCATTGTAAAATGTAAGTTATACTTGTGAGGAGTGAACATTTAGACATAGAGAAAAAGTATCAAACGTATCTTGTGCAGCAAAGTTAGCTTTTCTTTTACACATGTTTATAACAATATTTAAATCCAACAATATTTAATAAAAAAAAAATATATCGGAATATCGGATTTTAAAATCCAAAAATATTTGTATCGGTATCGGTCTTCAAAATCCTTTATCGGTCGGGCTCTAGCAGTTAGTGCTACTACAGTAAATCCAATGTTAAATGATGGCCATTTGTAGGTTGAAAAGCGTTCTGACTGTATCGTTGCCCACAGTATTGCTCAGCGTTGAGACCGATCAGTGAGTAAACGCATCTGCTCTAGTAACTCGTACGGATAAATTGTCCATGTGGTGCAGTTCAAGCAAGTAGCGCCATTTGATTCCGCTTTATATCAAACATTTATTAAACTCGATAATCGTTTTTCGAGAAAGTGTTTTGATAATCGTTCTTTAAAAATAGTGCAAATCAAACTGCTGTAAATCAAATCAAAATGACTCATTGGGGAGAAAAAAGAAAAGAAATTGAGTCTGCTTACCAACAGTGACAGCGGCAACCACTGGAGACACGATCACTGACAATGTCACCCCGCCGGCTATGACGAGGTTCCTCTTGTGCTTAGAGATGTCCTTTCCCTCATAACGATTATGAATCTGAAGTAGATGGATTCAAAGAGTGAGTGAACACTGCTCATCCACATTCATTATTCTCGATTAAATTACAACTTAATGATCTAACAAATCTCTTGAAGATCAAACAAGGTGGATAAGTGTGTGAGAAGACATGTAGGTCATCATATTTCACAATGCACAGAATTCAGGTCAGATAAACAGACTGTTATGGAAATGCCTTCATAATGAAATTCAGATTGAACAGCACATTTCTGAAGTGCTATTAATCATTGTAAAAAGTAACCAGGTTGCAGTGGATTCATCTAGTTCAGAGACAGGGCTGCATATTAACTCAAACACGAAACCAAATCCTAAATGTAGGACACAAATTATACTTATTTGCTGGACATAAATCTCAAATCTATTAATACAGATGTAAGACTAGCGCTTGCCAAACTGGTTTCAACATGTTGGCACAATTCTAACTGGGTTTATAATAAGCAACACTGTTTTTCTAGTCAGATAAAACGAAGGCCCTTTATTATCTTGTCGTCATGACAAAGGAATTTGGAGAAACTGCCTGCATTTTCATGACCGCTCATTTTGTGAACCAAATCCTCTGAAGTACATTTTTCCTTAATTTAACCCATACTATGTGCCAATTAGCTGACATTACAAGTTAAGGTTGATAATGCAGGAAATGTAATGATTAATTACGTAAGATTGTTCATGATTATCAGGACAGCTTAGAATTCATGAAAGGTTTGTTGAAAATATATGCAGGCTTTTTACACACAGGCAAAAAAATATTACAACATACAATATGGCTTTTAAATTTATAATATAAAAGTGTATGGTTTAACTTTTAAAGAAATTAAAATGACTATTTTTACAGCTATACTATATTTTTATTAAACCCTTTTTTATTTTACAATATAACAGCTTTATTAATTATTATTTATACAAATTATTAATCTTTAAAAACCATTTTTGTATATTCTTTTGAATTTGTCAGAAACAGTAGAATTGTGCATTTCCTAGTCAACACTTGACTATGATTACTGAAAGAGGTCCAAAATTATCCAGCCTTAACAGGATGGACTGCACTCAAAAACTTTTTTTATATATATATATATATATATTTTTTTTTATCATATGTATTATACATATGTCCCCATCCCTACAAATTAACCCCTTTTTTCTAGAATTATTCATTCTTTCCTAATTGAACTATTCAATTCAGTCTTTTGATATCCCAATATACCTTGCATAAAAATAAAATACTGCAATGTCAGTTTTCAACATCAAGCATTTCTAATTGTTTTCTAATCCAAGATACAAGTATGTAATGCCGCACTTACGTTTGTATTTCAAACACTAAATAAGGAGTAAAATTTTTGGCTTGAATTTATAAAGTTCATTTTCATTACGAGTTCAGTATCCTGCAGGATTATCATGATCGAGTAAACAGAGACAGACTGTTCAATTCTCAGTCCTCCTATTCCACAATGACAGCTACTATCAGTGGTTGTAAAAGAAACTTTTGGCACCAGGCTGACAGTCACATTAGGGACTTTCACACCAGAGGAACCTTTTCATAGTTCTTGGAACTATTGGCAGAAGTACCCACTTTTTGGCTTAGTCACACTGCAGGAACCAGGAACGATTTTATTTTTAGGAACTACTGTTGGGGGAACTAAATCAGCTCCTAGTTCAGAGTAGGGTCTAACCCAGCACAATAGGAACTACCAGTGACACAAAAAGTCGTGTAAATATTTACTCCATGAATATGGAAAACAGCGATGACGCCATTTACTTTTCTCAGCCTCGATGATATGCAACACAGCAAGTTTTCATAGGAGATTTAGTCTCTTAGCCCCACTTTTTGTTTGTTCAGTCGTGTAGATTACGCATTTACATTACATATCAGTTATCACGAAACCAGAACACAGACAGCCCCAATCATGCCATTCTCTATCCACCGGTTGTTCACGTTAATAAATAGACGCCTATGTCTGCCGCTTCTTAGCTCTTCCTGACGGTGTGAATGCGATCAGGAAAATGGCTGGCGGGGAATTAGTTCTCAGGGAACTATCATAAAACGTAAAAGAATTGGACACAGCGACCCTATAGACTTCATTGGAGACTTCAGTCTTGGGAACTATCCTTGTGGCTAGTTCCTATAACGAAGTTCCTAGAACAACCCCGGTGTGTAAGTCCCTTATTACTGTGGCAAACTATTTAGATAAAGCAAAAAAAAAAAAAAATTAAAAAAAAAAAAAAAATATATATATATATATATATATTTTTTTTTTGCGTTATCTAAATAGAAAAAGCAAAAATATTTACTATTATTATTTTATTTATATATATATATATATATATATATATATATATATATAAATAAAATAATAATAGTATATATTTATGTAAATATAATACCTTGCAAAAATCAATCACAATTGGGTACAGCAGAATTAAACTTTACTTTTCATTCTCAACATTCAGAGATTATCTGGAGTGGCCACCCACCTTTCTACCCACATACACAGGAATCCCAATGATCATTGCAGGTATAGCAATGCCAGCAATAAGTGCAATGCCAACCGGAGCACCCACAAGTGTCCCCAACTGCCACAGGATTTTCTTCTTCCTGCTCCAGGGCTTCTTACCCCAAAACGTGCATCCTGAAGGACTGTGACAGAAACAGAGAAATTAAACCTAGAAATGTAACCTTAGCACAAAAAGAAAAAGTTTCCACCACTCTTTGAGCTTCAACAGTTCTCACAGAGTGTCAATAATGCAGACAAAGTCTGATTTACAGCATTATATTGCAGTGGTCTTCAGTACACTGACCTTAAGTAGTGCAGGTCAGAGATCTCCTTCATACACAGCCAGCAGAACTCACAGCCACACACAGCACAGGTCATGTGATTACAGCTCCCATCGTTCATCTTAATGATGTAGGCCGCACAGCGGGGACATGGCTTTATGTCATCGGCTTTAGGGACACAAGACACAACAGTTAAAACCACTGAAAGCGCTGAAATATGAGATTTCAGACGTTTTCACACCAAGTTTGAGATACTCATTTCGTACAAATCACAGTATATCATTTTCTAAGGGAGAGATGCCATTTTCATTCTAGACCGCACTTGATTGGTTTAAACTGATTGATTGATTTTAGAGCAGTTTCATGAATGAAACTTCTGACTAGAGCCCGACCGCTAAAGGATTTTGAAGGCCGATAAAAATATTTGTAGGTTTTAAAATCTGATATATCGGCCGATATTTTATTTATTTATCTTTTTAAACTGGAGATGATTAGTCACAAATTTTGTCATGCTTATTTGAGTTAAGAGAACTGATGGGGATGATCTTTTAATTGTTATTCAAGCAATGTATGTATCGTGACCAACTCAACGAGTTTTGCCAACAGGAACGGTGTAGAGTGCCCTCTGGTGGACAAACTATACAACTCCAACACTCATGACATGGTTGAAGAGTGTTTCGTCCGTTTTTATTTTATTTTTGAAATATTCATTTATCGGCCATTATAACTCCCGATACCAATAGTTTGGAAAATGCCTAATATCGGCCGATAATATCGGTCTCCCGATATATCGATCTGGCGCTACTTCTGACATTAAAGATATACCACCAATAAAACGGACCACACTTTGATGTCAAGTGCCCATTGGTCTGCACTGTGCTAGTGTGAGTTTAGTGGGCTTACCAGCAGCGCCGCTCTCCTGGCTGTAGCTGAGTGACGATGATCTGAAGGGTCTCAGACGGAGACTCTGAGCTCTCTGCTGTCGGGCGGCGTCACAGGTCTGATTTGGGTGCCACAGCTGTTTACAGTGGTAACAGAACTCCGTTCCGCAGCCCTCACGACCACACGTGATCTTTGGACAGCTGGCACAACCGAAGGCGATGACTGCATACCTGTCAAATCAAACAGACAAATACTTTCACAGCTATACACGAACATAACAGAAAAGATGCATTCTCTCATACATATCTGAGGGCACTCATCTAGATGCTCACAGTAAACTAATAATTAGTAAACCAATCATTCATGTTTGTCCATTCTCCAAAACAAACATGCCATGTTACATAACTGCAGCAATCTCGAGTCTTTTTGACCCATCTAGATTCACAGCCCTGCTAATTCAAACTGATGGCATCATCAATTACCGCTGGCAATGGCCATCGTGACCCGATCTCTATTAATGAGAACCTATTAAATGATGCTTGTCTGCAGGGATAACGGTTGTTGGAAAGTCACAAGGGGGCAGACGGAATGATTGAGAGAAAACAGTGACAGGATCACTATGCTAACTGATCTGTGTGCTAGACAAAAGTTGCATAAGAGGCTACAACAGTCCTTGTAATGTGATAAAGCACTAGAAGCTGAGAAGCGTGAATGTGCGCTACAGGATCAGTCGCTTATTCCAGCAACAAAGAAGACATGATCTCAAACCTCATGAAAGAGTCTTATGTTTGCCTGTGTGGACTGACATAATTACACAATTTAATTTGATACAAAAGAAGCTACAACTCCTTGGTGCAATCCAGATGTCATTTGGTGAACTGTCGGTTTTCAGCCCGAGACATCTGCTTCCAAAAACAATGTGGCCTTTGTCATTAGAGTTTGCCAAATTTCTAGAGGAGTCCGAGTGTACGAGTTAACACAATGTTGGAGACATAAGGCACCCCCTTGCCTGATGTACAATCAACCCTAAAAAAATTAAATAAAATAAATAGTAATCTCAAAATAAGGATAGTGACAGCAACAGAACAAAGATCACAGCATGAAACATGGCACACAGCCTTTCCACTAAACGGAAGACATGTTTTAAAAAAAGTGTACATACAGTGTTTCCCCTACCATTGTTTTAGGAAACGACCCCCCGCCCCCCCTAAAATGCTGACGAAATCCAGTCATAAAAAAGGATTTTACTGTATATTTGAGGAAATTTTTTTTATTTCAGTACACTTGAAATAAAAATCGCGATTTAGACTAGTGTGTGTGTGTGTGAATATTAAACCACAAATAGTATTTAAATACGAATCCTGTTTGTATGAATCGTATGTTCCGTGTGAATGAATAGTGCAGCCCAGAGCCGTTAAATATTAATATGTTTTTCGACGGCTCTGGTGCAGCCGACGCGCAGATTTATTTACCACACACACATACACTGAAGACACACGTGTGACGCTTGCGCTGGTTTTTTTGCCTATATGAAGACAGAAATGATTGAACTTCCTCTCCAGGCTCTAGATCCAATCTGAAAGTCACTTCGTGATCATTTAACCGCTTCATTTGTGAAAATATCATCATGACGATCATGACAAACACACAGAAACTCCAAAGGGCTTCACGGCAACCCGTCAAAATAAAAGTTCGGTTTAACTTGACAGAAATATATTATTGTTGTACAGTAGAAATAGGAAATGTCCAGATGTAATAATACATTAACACTAATACGAATAAATTATGATTTTTTTTAACAAAACTGAATTTAAGGAATAATCCATGTTTTAATTTTAACAGTAAAGCTCATTGTGCAGCACATTATTTGACAAAAAGTTTATGATAAAATTTGTGTTTTATGGCTTAATTTTATTACCAGCAAAAACACAGAATTAGTGTGATTTTTTTTCTCATATATCTATAGGTTTAAAAAAAATAATAATACATGATTTGAATTATTATACATTCTTTTTGATGTCTAATAATAAAAAAAAAATTACATGCCCGCTCCGCTACAGTAGCAGGTAGTGTAGTGTACTTTCCTAGGGGAAACACTGAAAAAATCCTAGGGGAAACACTGACATATTTTCTAAAACATTAACCTTACCTAACCTTAGCCATCCCACAATGCAGAATCAATGCAACTCACTCCGTCTGCTATTCACAATATCTATGAACATGCTCTACTAAATGCCTGACAACCAGAAAGTGTCTGAAAACAAGTTTTATTTTTTAAAACCCATAATGTTTGCTTAAAGCACTCAACATTCCTTTAACTCAATATGAAGGTGGCTTGCTTTAACACTGTTATCTAATGCAGGGTTTTATAACCTGGGTCACCTGAGTTCTCTGTAGCTCTTTTCCACCAGAATACTTTGTGTTCTCGGCCAGGCAAAATGGAGCCTGTTACGAACTGGCCGCATATTTCCACAGATTTGAGGAACAAACAGTGATGTAATGCTGTTATGTGTTGTTTACAAGACTAGAAAGAGTCTAAAATCAAACAGTGTGCATCTCAGTGTTTGTGACTTCTGTTTTGCTTTTCACACTAGCAGGAGTGATTCTAGCTTATCGGCAGCGTACAGTTGATTCACTTGTTCGCTCACACTCTTGCATGCACAGTTTTATATATCTAGATATAGAGAACAATGTTCTGGCCAGGAACAACAATTTCTGCAGCAGAAATACACAGAACAGATCAATAACGCACAAAATCCGGAAGTGCATCGTTGGAAAAATCTCTCTCTGATCACCCCTCAAAGCATACCACAGTATATATATATATATATATATAACCTGCCATGACACATTGACTAGTTCTTTTCCTACATTATTGTTGGTGCTATGGCGTGTTAAAAAAAAAACTAGAATACAATATACCTAATTAATCTAACTGGGAAGAGCTTTTTGCTAGACACAACAGACATCCTCTAGGCGACCCACTGTCCTGCTAAGTTTTTCCAACCTGCTTCTGTATTTAATAGGGCTGGGTAATAAATATCGATTTCTCGATATTAATCGATTCTCATTTTTACGAACCGATATCGATTCTTAAATCTCAAGAATCGATTAGTCATCCTGTTTCATTTGAATGAATGGGACATTGTATCGCGGCTGCGTGCATCCAAAAAAAAAAAAAATCGCAATAATCTTTGTCCTTTGTTACTATTGATATGAAACAAAGTCTCAATTTTCAAATTACGTCCATTTTCTTTAGAAATTCAAAAACATAAATAACGTTTTGTCGCTGTGGCGTGAGATCGCTCTGGAGAAGCAGCAGCGCTGATCTCTCTTCCGGCTTAATAATACCAGTTACAGCGCCAAATAAACATGAATGAGCATCTGAAAGTGTGTTAAAGATAGAGTACAACTTATCGAAATCCGTATCATGTCACATTGATTCGCTCAATCAGCGTTTCAACCGTGGAAAGACGTCAGTTAAACAGCTTATAATCAATGTCATCGTCACTTTTACCTCAGAAAACCCACATAAACTCGTTAGTCAGCTAGAAAAATAACTCTAGAGAGGAGCATTTTGCTAAATATATACACCATATTACATATGCATTATAATCTTAATGTTCTTCAATATTTAATGCATATTTGAATAAATATGGCAAGTTTTTATGACAGCCACCATTTAAATGTTTATATTTCATATAATCTTCTTATTATAAAAATAAATAAAAGCGTAATTTAAGTGTTTGTATAGCTACAAAACAGTTCATTATTACCTTCATATTAGGCTAATGAAGAACTATAGACTCCCATAGTTTACAGCATTTAAGAGATTTGATTCCCTTGAGAAAAATTGCCATTTATTGTAACTGATATCCAAAATAATCGATATTGAATCGAATCGAAATCGAATCGAATTGCAAGCTTGTGAATCAAAATCGAATCGAATTGTGAAATTTGTCTCAATACCCAGCCCTAGTATTTAAGCGATCCCGAAGAGCTTGATTAGCAGCTTTAGGTGTGTTCAATTAGGGCTGGAAATAAACATTGCAGGACAGTGGGTAGCCAGGAGCATGGGCGAAGACCTCAGCTCTATAACGACAGGTATAATAGTACCTACTGAGAAAATAAGTATAACCGATTATCAAAAAGGACAAGAGAAAAAAGGCTGCTCAAATGTTGTGTTATTCAAACACAGGGCACAGCTGAGTGCTTAGCATGACAAGATACGCTGCCAGGCTCTCCACTGGCATGATAAAGACTCCATTCAAAGTGACAGTGTCACTAGTGTCAGGCCTTCAAAAGCGCTGATCACAACACAATACTGTGCCTTTGGCTTGTGTTAACTTCAAGATGACGACCCAGACAGCTCTGCCTCAGACTCAGAGTACAAGCCGATCAAAAAGAGAAAAGCTGAATCCCAGCACAATATCACAGCGCTCATCGTAATAAAGTCTCTGGGGCCTTTTTACTAAGAACATTTACACTAATGTTCAAAACATTGGGGTTAACACTTATTTTGAATGTTCTATTCAAAGAATCCTAAAAAAAAATGATCACGGGTTTCTACAAAAATATTAAGCAGCACAATTGTTTTCAACAATAATAAGAAATGTTTTTAGAGAAGCAAATCAGCATATTCATGAAGGATCATGTGACACTGAAGAATAATGGCTGCTTAAATTCAAACTGAAAAAATAAATTACATTTTAAAATATATTCAAATAGGAAACACTATTTTAAATTGTACTTATGAATAATAATAATAATACAAATATTACTGGTTCTGTATTTTTGATTTTTGATTAAATAAATGCAAGTCTTGATGAGCATAAGACGCTTCAAAAACAAAACAAAAATTCTTACTGAGCCCAAACATTTGAATGGTAGTTCACATTCATGTATACTTTGACAGAAAGATTAAGAATGTAGCTGAATTGGTGTAGCTTAGCTTGATTATAACTATCTATGCATGTAAACATACATATTGACACTTCTAAAGTCAATTTAGGTAAGAGGCTGTTTATAAATGCTTACACACACAAAATGACCTCTACACTCGCATATCAAAACAAACAGACCACAAATAAGCAAATACACACAACATGCAGTCATGGCAGCTGTGGCAACACAACGGCAGCTGTCGCAACATCACAGCCATGCAATGAAAACCAAACCATTGATTTAGACCTAACCAGGAAAAAGAAATGTCATGAAAACCCCAACTCCCATCATGCTGCTATAGCAACAGGATGTTAGCAGCATTGTCAACGTTCCTTTTCAGGCAAATCCTTTCACTCGGCAGCCATCTTTGAAACGCCTCACAGGCAGCTATTTCGGTCATGCAAGTGCAGCTCCCCTCTCTTTGATTGGGGAACATCAAATTCTCATAATACATCGAAAATATAATGGATAGGGGTGATCAAAACAGAACTCACGATATTTAAACCCAAAATAAAGTTTTTATTTTTACTTTATTATTATTATTATTATAATCAGGATCCACAAATTTTCCCCCACTGCATAATTATAGCCAACATTGTGTCAACATTATTTATAATCATTTAAACAGTGCTTGCTATGTCCAGACTCTCCTGCTATTAATGCACTATACATATAAAATAATCCATCTAATACTTGCAATAATCATACTAATAAAAAACTAAATGTAATATGGTGATTTAAATTATGTTTGCGCTTTAAAATCATAGTGGTTTGAAACATAAGGGGTGGTACATCTAAACTTTTGGATGCATTATACCTTACAGTGAGCTGAGCCTTGGATAAAACTAACTCGTATCGAGAATAATACCATATTCGCGATATCTCAATATAACAATGTATAGTTACACTCCCCTAGTAATGTATTGATAAATAATTTATTACAATTGAAATAGACACCAATAATAACAGTGTTAAAATGTTTAAATGCATTTCTAATCCAAAACTCAATTATTGACCAGGGTCATATTAATAAACTAATATGATATTGAAACTAAATAAAGCATTAACTGAAATGAAATGTAACATTAAAAACAAAAATAACTTAATTTCAGCCAGTTTCCAAGGAAACATCAAATTTTCATTTGGTTTAACTTGATGTAACAAAACAAAACAAAAAACTAAAGAATTTTTTTTTAAATGAAATGGAAAATATAAAATCAAAAATGGAAAGTATTAATGAGAAGTATAATAGTATCTAAAAGAGCACTGCTGATTTCATGCATGTCTGAGCTTGGACAGTTATGATCCGTCACAGGTCCATCCTACACATTTTTGTTTGCAGAAAATCTGCACATACATTCAAAAGTTTTGGGTAAGTAAGTTACTTAAACAAGGTCACACTGGATTAAAAGTGAAAGACGTTTATAATGTTGAAAAAGATTTGCCTTATTTGTCTAAAAGTGCACTTACCCGCAGTCCGGAGCAGGGCACCAGCGGCAGTCAGGGTCTGCCACCAGCCAGCGGCGCAGCATGAACTCCTCGTACTTCTCCATGAGCACACGGTCATTGAGTATCATGCGGATGTCATGGGGGTTGAAGCGCTCGGAGCACTCTGGGCAGCTAATGTTGACCCTGCTCTCAGATATCTCTATGCGAAGATACTGTCGAAGGCAGTCGGCACATGAGCGGTGGTGACATGTCATGATGTCAGGGAAACGGTCTCTGGTGTGACGGAGCAGGCACAACGGGCACTCCAGCAGCTCAGAGGTGGAGGCCGAGGATGAGGAAGATGAAGATGAGGTGGAGGCCACACCGGGTACGGAAAGTGCCGAGACGTGGTCCGGCTGCTGGCACATTTCTGAGTGCACGCTCTCCACACTAGCGATGCCATCCACTCCAGCGGCTAGAGCCCGTGATTTACGAGATTTGGGCTCCCCGCAGCGACGACGGAACAGTGAGCGCAGCGAGATGCGGCGTTTCTTAGGCGTCTTCCGTACAGAGGGCAAACTGACAGAGGAGGTGGCAGAGGGGAGGTCCCTCTCGGACCCTTGTTGCTGCTGATGCAGGCTCATTTCTCCAGAGGAGGCACTGTGGTTTCCAAAGGACTGGGAAGCTTCTACAGGGAGGGCAGGGAAAGAGGAGGAGGAGGGGGAGGGGGAGGGAGGGGAGAGAGAGGGAAAGGGGGACAGGGTTTTCAGAGGGGAGTGCGAAGTGTTAAGACATGGTGGTGAACTCTCTGCAAGTTGCTCCCTTGATCCAGGCAGCTGAAGTTGAGACACACGTGTCAGTTTGGAGTCACCAGGCTGGATCTCGACCTGATCTGTGAGAGAAACAGAGAAAGAAACTGAGTGAGACAAACTGTGGAAGACCTCATTTAACACTTTTATTTTTTGCTGACGATTCTACATCATTTTCAGATGTCAAAGCATTAATAACTATAAACTAGGGCTGTCAGTTAAAAGAGTTATTAACGGTGCAATTTTAACGCAAAGCCATTTTAACGGCGTAATTTTTTTTTTAGCGCGTGATTAACGCGTCTTTTTGGCCTAGCAAACTTTGTCATTTTTTTTTCACATGCTTTTGCAACAGGACGCGGCGCTGCGCTATAGCCCCCTTTCCAAAAAAACATTTTGAGAGCCGGTTCGGAGCCGGTGCCTGCGCGTGAACCAGTTCTTTGTGTTTCGACAGCCAAAGAACCAGTTCGCGGCCGGGAAAACTGGTTCCAAAATGGCACCAACCCTTTGCTGGACTAGAACCGTTCTTTTATCACGTCATGTTTACGTCGGGGGCTGGGGCGGGTTTATGTGTGTTCTAAACATATTTTCTGACCATCGCAAAGCCAGGAGAAACTGCAGAAACATGCAAGCGTTTTTATTTTTTTTATTTTTTTTATTTGAAACATAAGCAAAGAAGAAAACAGTCACGATATAGAACAAATAAATGGAAAGAAAAAAGACACAAGACAGGGGTACATAACTTATCAGAAAAGATTACATATCAAACGAAAAGATTAAAAAAACGTACATATTTCAATTGTTTTTAAAGTTCTCTTGGTACACGAATTAGAGATAATCCCAAAGCAATGTACTTGCAAGCGTTTCTAGCAACGTGCACAGTGACGTAACGACGTCATTCCCTGGGCACTCTAGTCAGTGGAAAAACAAACAGGTTCTAAACGGGTTCACAAGTTGAACCAACTCCGAACCAGCACCAGTTCCGAACCAGTTCTTTTTTTGGTGAAAAAGGGGTATATGAAACCCATTCATTTCAATGGCTTGCGCCCATTGCACCGCGCGAGGACGTTTTGTTGCTCCGTCGACCAAAGCGCAAGCGGATCTAGCTAGACCAGAAACAAAACAACAGGCATGCCACACACACTTGTTTGGGTCTACGAGCCGGCCATGTTGATAAGAGCATTAAATTGAAAAAAATTAAATAATGGGACAAAAATAAATCAAGAGACATTTAGAACAGATTAATCACGAGTCAACTATGACATTAATGCGATTAAATATTTTAATCGTTTGACAGCACTTCTATAAACCTATTATAAAAATTGTAATTTAATAATAAGTTGTATGGGGAAAGTTTGCGTGGGAGTGAAGGAAGTGCAATGAAAACAATAATTTGAAAATTAAATACATTTTCATCATTTACTCACTAAGACATTCAGTGAAACAAAAGGTCTTGAGAAAGTCAATGTGCACCAAATCTGTTTAGTTACAAACATTCTTCAAAATGTTGTTCCATGTTCCACAGAAGAACTAAAGTTTGGAACGACACGCACGTGAAACAATGACAACGATTTTTGTTTTTGGTCACTTGTTCCTTTAATTCTGCTTAACCATTTTTATAGAACGTCACTTTGGTAAAATTATTTGCTGTACATTGAGCAGTTGGAGTGACATTCTTTACCCAGAAATGAAAAGATATGCATTTAAGACTAAAGCCCGACCGATAAAGTATTTTGAAGGCCGATACTGATACAAATATTTGTTGGCTTTAAAATCCGATATATCGGCCGCTATTATTTAATTGTTTTTTATTTTAGAAACACACAACAAAACATTAACAGATTTCCCTAACATTAGTTATTTGTAGTTTTAACTAAAATAATATGATAATGCATTTTAAAAAGAATGTAGGATGTGTTGCGCGTTATACACGAGTGTTGCCAACGGGGACGGTGTAGAGCGCCCTCTGGTGGACAAACTATACAAATCCAACACTCATGACATGGTTGAAGCGAGTTTCGTCCATTTTTATTTTATTTTTGAAATATTCATTTATCTGCCATTATAACTGGTGATACCGATATTCTGGAAAATGCCTAATATCGGCCTGCCGATAAATCGGTCTTGCTCTATTTAAGACGTGTAATTCCAGCTTTAAATCTACTAGAAATTAAATTGATTTGATACAGCAGCCAACTGACTAACGATAATAAAAAATTTTTCAAAAACAGATTTGAGTATTGAAACACTAGTACACTGTGATTACACACATACTTATGCATAGCAATAGTTCAGTTCACAAATTTCATGTGAACAGCAAGTTTAAAGGTTGAAATTGATTCCTGCTGTCTGAAAACACATTAAAACACTGCCAAGATGAGAAGAACTGACTCAGTGGAAAAGTTGATGAAAGGCTGAACACAGTAAGTTCATAGTAATGAAACCATTACAAAAAGACTGGAGAACCACTTTAGAACAGGACGCGTCATCACTGATACTGTACGGGATAGAAGAAACTATTGCATGGGAGTGAATGTTAAGGAACCCGAGACAGAGCAGCAGAACAGAAGTGACCGGAGAAGAGAAAGAGAATCATTCGTCATTCACAGAGAAGATCTTCTCGCCCTGCCTGCAGGCCTTTCACACTGTTGAATATGACATATCTGCTCTGCCTCAAGAGTTCTGAGAGCTCACATTTCAGACCTCAACAGTAGTGATGAAGAGTATCAGTCTCAATTGATTAGCACAAAGACTCTTAAACCAAATGAGGAAGAGACACTCGACAGACATGAATCATCTAAACTTCCCAAAAACGCTGCAGTCTGTCACATGAGAGCTGAGAGGTCATATGAATAAAAGGACATTGTACGTAATGACTCTCAAAAATAAAAGGAGTTTTCCACACACTCTCTTTGGCAGGATGAACCAGCTGTTTCTCTCTCTTATAATCTAAGACTCTAAGAGGAAATACTTCTAAGAATACCTCCTTGTGCAAATACTAGAGATGGACATTTTTCAAAAATATTGAATTTGAATATTCAGGCTCATAAAAATCGAATATTCGTTTATTTAAATGACGTTTAACGAACATTTTATTTTTTTAAAGTTGAAATTTGTTTACGTTTCTACAAGCTTACAATTAGGCAATATACACAACATGCTTACAATATATAGTTGAAAACATTAAACACTAGGCCTGTGTAAACAAAAGCATTAATAAGCACATACTCAAGCAGTGCAAACGGAAAAAATGCCTACAGATTGCGCCAGATATCGTACAGAACGTACACACACACACTCGAGTCAGCATATGATTATCGTGTTTATATTGTTTGACGTTTATGTTGAGAAAAACACTAATATTCACATGCAGGGGCGCCGCCAGCAAATTATGCTTGAGTGTTCTTAAACCGGTCTCCCTCAACGAAACTTAAAGGAAGTATATGTCTCAAAGTCATTTAACTATTAGATAAGTTATCATCTCTGATCACTCGCGCTACAGCTGTGCTTACCTGCAGTCGTGATGCAGTGGTGGTCAGCCGTCTTTATTCATTCGACTGTTTGGATTTCATGTGATTTCTCATTGTGGTATTGATATTATAACTCAGATTAATTAATTCTTTTAATCAAAGGTAATTCCATTTAGTAAGATCATTTTCAAGTAATTCCAAACTTCACGAGGTTTTTTTTTTATTTTATATTTTACACTAAAAAGTTAAATAAGCGTATCCGTTCCAGTGCCGCATAACGAGTGTGGTCTCTATATCTTTTATCTACAGACGTTTTTAAATCTTAACTCTAAAAAGCAATGAAATAGTCAGACATCCATTAATGCATGCGAGGGAAACAACTGGAAATACAGCGCTAAATGTTTTAGCCATACTCGACAATGACAGAATCCAATGGCGTGTATGGGGCGAAGGTATAATGTGCGTCTTAATTTGTATGAAATAATCCAGAAAAAAAAGCACAAACACAGCTGAGGGTGATGCTAACAGACAGCAGACAAACAACGACAAGTCACTCAGTCACTCAAGTGGCCACACCCTTAATTATGCAGAACTTTAAGGCTTAATATAATTTAAAAGAATGAGTTGTAAAAATAAATAAATAAAATAAAATAAAAAACACCACCCTCAGAGTCACCATGAAGTGCAAAATTAGCAATATAGACCAAAAAAACTATTTGCCACCAGGCATTTTTTTTCCGCAGTGAAGTTGGGCCTTTTAACATGGGGAAGATACAGATTTGACTCACTTTTGCCATCAGCCTCAAGTGGCCAGTCAATGAATTGCAGTTTAATTCACTTCCGTGTTTGTTTCAAGAGAAAGTCGGGGAGGTAGCCGCTTGCTTAAACCTTACATTTCACAACCAGGCAGCTGATGAGTCTTAACGTTTAGTTAGTTGACCTCAGCAAGTTTTTGGGCTCATCATTACCAACAGATGCCAAGAGCGCTGTATGTTTACGTAATACAAGGAAACTGAGCTAGATGATTGTTTCTGAATAACAACTGAAGGAATAAAATACATTCAATACCACTCAAGTAACATGTCAAAACACACGTAAAGACACGCATGAACCCTTAAGACAAATACCATGTCAAGCTGATAACATTCAAGAAAGATAAGATACCATTAACAGCCACAATGAAGATGCACCTTACACTCATTTGGGGTGCATCAAATTCCCAACACAAAACAAACACAGATAACATCTGCACTGTTCTGCTCAATGGGTTTAGTCTCGTCCTGATAACACTGGCTAGCAATGCGCAAACAGATCTTTTTATTCAACATTTGATGGTTGAGCTGCTAAAAAAAAACAACTAAGAACACAGAATAAAATAGAACTGATTTGATAGCTGAAATGCAAAACGTCTGACGCCGTTGAACATTCCCACACACCTAGGCCAACATTGTCCAACCAGTTTGCATGCTGTTTAGATGCATCATATCAACATTACTCAAATGTTTCTAGTCTGCTTGATTTCCCCTAAGGCTGAAACAACTGTAAACATATCTTGTTTAGATCTGGTTCGTAAAAAAAAAAAAAAATTACAATAAAACTACATGGAATATTAAATT